TTTTTTTTTTTTTTTTTTCTGCAAAACCGCATCTTTATATTTTTGCTTCATTCCCTACACAACTGACAAGTTCAAATAATTTTTTTAAAAAAAAAGAACAACTAAAAAACAGAATTTTTTGAGAAGTTGACTGATGAAAATGTGCACACATATGTACCCGTCTAAGCAGACGAGACGTTGGATTATTTACGGATAAAAGCGAAACAGCATTGATAGCCACTAATAAACAAATAAGGCATAAAACGTTTGCAACTCACTTCTAACAACTCAAAACACTTTCCAATCCCTTAATATTACCCGTCTCTATTTCTCTACTTTCTCTCACACCTTATCTTAAAACTTTCTTTTCAATTTCCTCAATTAATTTATTAAAATTTTAAACAAATCATCTGTCAAACATCATACACCTTCAACTGCCCCTCCTTTTTTTTTTTTCTTTTTAAAGCAGCAACAATTAAAACTGATCGGTAATTGTAACTAACGTTATAGGCTTTTTCCCAGTTAATAATGACAAGGAACATATAATTTGATGCCTCATAAAAACACTTTAAAACTTAATTTTTAAACAGCCAACAGCAGAACAAATACTAGTAGAGCAGTGCTAAATCTCAAGGTAATAAAACAGCATTATATGCAGCCAAAATATTGTGAATTACTTTAAACATTCTCAATAAAATTTTGAAGCGCCTTATTGAGGAAATAAAATGAATAAAGACAATTATAAGTTTTATTAAACAAGTTAAGCTGCTTAGCTGGAAGCCAATATTAGCAAAATTATGATCTGCATCTGATTGAACATTATTATACACTGGAACTGACATAGTCAAATCTACTCGTATACAGACAAATAAATTTCTAACATTTCCTCTTTACTGTATTAGTATCATCTCCTACTTATGTCAGGTGCAATTATACTGATACCACGCTTGAATTCAATGAAAAAGTTAAAAATTTTTATGCTTCATTGCATCAAACAAACAGTAAATAAGCTGTAAGTGCACGATAAAATGAACCAAATTCATTGCAAAACAAGAAATTACAGCAAAAAAAAAGACAGTAAAACATCTCCACACAGTCATACAACCACAAATATTCTTAAAACTTCAAAGTAAAAATTGTTAAAGATGTTTTTAGCCGAATTTCATTGAAATAATAAACTGCACACAAAAATACGACAAAATCAAGTCAAGAAACCAACTTTTTTTTTAATTTCTAAAATTAATAACTTGCAATCGTGTTCTAAAAAGAAGTCAGTTATAGTAAAAAACATAAAACACTCCTCAACAACCAATTATTAGGGGAATTAAAAGTAGCTCAAAAGAACTTCAAAAAAACGAATAAAATCAATGTTAAAATCAGTAAACGATTATCAGAGAATGCAATCTCCGACTGTAGAAGAATGTTTAAGAACTAAACAAGCAAAATTAATCTTGTTGCTTTCCAGCAAATGACGATGTCGCCCCTAGCAGATTATCTCCCAAGATTTCATCGATTTCTGCAAATTCACTATTTCAGTAAAAATAACAAGATGAAGTGAATCAACATGAACAGATAAACAAACTAACACTGCAGCATAGCTTGAGCATGATGAGAAAAAAAATGGGCTAACATCTCATGAAAGAAAAGCAGAAGTTTGAATGTTGATATGAAATAAAAAATGCTCTGCAATAATATAAAAAAACTTTCTAAACTGGGCTTGTACTTCCAAAAACCCGTCAAAGGTCCCAACACGAAACTTTGAAAACACCTCAAAAACTACGTAACTCAAATCGAATAGTAGCGGCACATGTGAATATCCAATTTTTAATTCACTGAGACAGTGCCATAAATATTTTTATCTACTTAAAACGTAAACTTCATGCACTAAACAAAAACTTCATTACGCAATTTGATTAACTATATATCCGAGGCAACAGGTATTTTCAAATTAAATAGATCCATTACATAACAAATGCAACCGAGCAGAAATTTGAAGTGGGAAACAAAGCCACTACTAACGCAACAGCTGTTAACCACTGCGGTATATGGTTTTAAACATAATTTACTTGCGCTATATTACAGATAAGAGTGACAAAAATAGGTTCATTTTATACGTCGCTCTCTGAATATTCGTCCCCGCTTCAGATTCGTCATATTAAGTAACTTCTACTCATGGAAACCGTTGTATTTCTAAAAGGATCGATAAACTTGCGACATCTCAAAAAATCCCAAAGTAATCTTGAAATCGACTGACAATACATACAAGTACTATTAATTTTTGGTCAAATAGGGAGTATTAGCATAAAATTGAGGCCGCAGAAAAAAAAAGCAAAAAAATTAAAGCCTTTGAATGTAAACCTCAAAAAATACATGCCAAGCAGTGCTCCTATCTGTTGTGAAATTGAAGCACAAATGTTTTATGAAATGTTGTTTCAAACACGGAAATCATTTAAAATAACATCTAAAAAAAACAGAAAAAAATGATCACCTTCAAGCACTGTATGAAAGCCAAAATGCAGATAACATATATAACCTATATGAAGAACAAATACCGTAGCCGCTAGTGCAATTTTGTGAGAATTATCTCTTGTCTTGGAACACAAAAACAAACTCTGAAATTAATTTCTCGATAAGTCAGTAAAGCCCGTCAATTACTGTTTATTAATAAACGTATTCCTCAACCCATACCTTGCACAAATAATACGCCTAATCAGGCGTTATATTGTAAGAATAAAAGCTCAAAAACCAAATTAAAAGTATTTGCCCTAAAGAGTTCATTATAAAAAGATTTATGACCTGTCAAAGTGCAAACACTTCAAGTATTAATTTAGTACTCAAAGAGTTATAACTGATACTAGTTTTAAAATTCTTGACTCATCTTTTGTCTCATATTAAGTATGACTTGGATACACCTACAGTTGAAATATCCTACCCTGCTCAGCTTTGGAATACTACGTGCACTACAGAAAAAAACAAATGAAGTCAACCTTGACCATCGAACTCAAAATTTTAAAGGCCTAAAAATTTTTAACAAAAAAAATAGAGTCAAATGAATTTCTAACTGCGACGTGCTCATTGGGTTGTTGAGAAATAATAGTGATGCGTAACTTTGAAATTCAAGTCTAAGACGTGAGTTGTAATAATAAAAAATCCCTTCTAAAGCAAGAAAAAAAATTAGAAGTTTTTTCACCTGTAAAGGGAACAAACTAAAAAAGCGCAAATTTGAAAAAAAAACATAATATCCTTAATCAGGCGCAAATAAACATTAAATACCCCTCCCCCAATTTTTTAAAAATAAATTTTTTACAGAGTTTGTATATCAAAATATAACGATATATAATCGGCTTTTACTGAAAACTAGACCTACTAAATAAAGTGTAGTAATTTCGTTCAAATGACTGTACGGCGCAACGAAGAATTAAATTACAGAAAAAGTAGATAAGTTATATCATACCACTCTAGCTGCTGATGGGAAGCAGAAAATGAAGACCAAAAGGTAAAAAAATAAGTGAGAATGAAGAGGGTGAAATACGGTTGTCAAGAAGATCACGATGCAGTGTCCAAACAATGAATACCCCTAAAATTGATTTGCTGTAACCTGCGCAGAGATGAGGATAATAACTGACAAAATAATGTTAAATGATCGATAATAAACTTCATATCTGAAATCCCTGTCAGTTTTCCAAAACTTTAATTCGTCTCAGGTAGTAAGTGAAGAAAGGAAAATAAAAATACAAATTTTTCAAAAATTTGGCTAGAGTCAGTTCAAAAACATATTTAAAGAATTTTTCACGGCAGCTGAAACTCACAAATGTTGTAAAGATATATAGCGATGTAACATCAGTACTAAGAATGTACGTCATAGTCGAGATTAAAAGCGATATGAGAAACCATGCTCCAAAGCAAGTAACTAATGCAGTACCCATTAATGTTCCGTCTTGTACAACATAACTAAAAAAAACATTTTCCACAATGAGCGAAAAATGAAGACCGCTTTGTATGATAAGAGAAATAATACATAAAAATTTACGTAAAGTAAAAAAAGCAATCCATTTACCCGGAAGATTTCATAGAAAAAAGAAGAAGCGCAACAAGCGTTAATATTATCATTAACGGACCATACAAATCTGTAGCTACTGATATTTTTGATGGCTTCCTTGGTATAAAAGACTGTATCAGACGAGACCGCACCTGTTTGGGAAGAACATTAAAATATGGCCTGAATAAATCAAGTCGTCCGTAAGATATAAACGTATCTTGAACTTGTTTACTACCTGCTTCCCATACCTAAAAAACATAGTCGCCGTGAAAAACGTAACATAGAAGCTACGTTTAAATTGTTTTTACTATTACCACATTTTAATAGAAGAACTGGTTCAAGGAACAACAAGTATTTAACAATAGACTTCCTAAAGGCCACGAGTTAAAAGTGACATTTTGTTTCCCGCAATCCTTTTATTTTTTGATAAAATTCACAGATATCAGAAATTAACACCAGACAGTTCCACAGATCTGGAGTCATTAGAACTTCATCCTTGAAGGTTAGAGAAGTAGAACAGCCCTCAAATCACCTTAAGATTTATACCATTTGGGGCAACCGGCCTTGAAAATCCATATAATTTACATTCGTTGTAGAAGCAGTATCCTTATCCTGACTTTCAAAAGACGACGGCCTCTGCCGAGTAGTGGCAGAAGACATGTATTCCATGTCTGCTCTGGTAAAGGTGTCAACTCTTCTACAATCCAATAACAAATTTTAAACTTAGCTACAAAGATACAAAAATGCGTAAAATCGATCAAAAATGGATACTATATTACACACTTAAAATATTTTCAAAATCTATCAAATAATACTTTCGCGAAAATAGCCAATTTCTTCACAAAAAAAAAAAAACCAGGAAAAATATTTCTGATATAACTAGCAAATAATTTTTAAAAGCGGTTTTGAAAGCATAGAAGATCCGCAAGTCAGCATGCCGTTCGTATGATGATCAAGAAAACTATGAATTAGCAATTCAGCATTGACGCCAACCAAAACTGAATAAACATACATTTAACAAGAAGCAACAAATCTGCAAACAATTTAAAATCCTGTTCTCTTCCCAATAATGCGTTAGCTTTTGTTTAAAAAAGAAAAGATGAATTTACTGAATGTAAATCTCACTTCACTCAACTATAGCCTTAACACGTTTCAATTCCTTAGTACCTTATACGTAACCTTTTCAGCATAAATAAAGTGAATTTTTAAATGATTGAAAAACATTTTCCATCACCAGTATTCGTTTCACAAAAACAAGAAAGAATTTATAAACTATTCAAAGTCTAAATTTTAAAAAGATGCTCAAAAAAATATATGTATATACTGTGTTTAAACATAGATGAAAATGAGCATAAGGAATGTGGATAAACGAAAGAACGTCTTTCAATGTGCAACTAAACTGCTCATCAATGAAATAATAGTGTAATACCTCCAGAAGACTGATTAGTGC